TACACTGCAAGTTGGCAGTGCATGTTTTGATGCCCCATTTGGGAGATAGATTGTGTGTCAGGTGCTTGAGAGTTTTGGCAGAGCCCTAAGGTGGGTGTCACAGTTAAGTGAGTTGAGGGGAATTTGTGTCATATTTGATTGCAGGCCTGTGCTTATTTGGTGTATAAAAATAATTCAAATAGCCATGTGTAAGAATTAGAAGCCTTCATAAAAATACTTGAACAGCAAAATAGTTTAGTTACACTGGAAGAAGCTTTTAGCTCAAAAGGAGAACCTGTCACTGCATGAGGGTTAAATTCTTCATTTTTGTTTACTGATGCAGTGTAACTGCAAAAAGAGTCTGACCTCAATCCCCAAGTACCTCTGAGAAGTTGGTCTTGGGTTAAACATATTGCTTGGCAATACATTCAGACCTGGAACCTCCCAGGTTTTCAGGTAAATAAGGCAGAGAATCAACAGCCCAGTAACGAGAACAACGTGAAGAGGCAGAAGCAGGAGCTCTGTCCTGCTCCTGGGTGACAGATCTGACAGAAGCTCTACAGCTGGAGAGTTGTAGTCAAGGCAGCACGTGTCTCTTTTAAACGTAGATCAGATGAGACATTAGAGTATTTTAAATGCTCCCATTAGTCTTCAGGCTGTCCACTGTAGAATATTTATCATATGGCTTGCTTCATGTACTACATTCTAAAGTGTGGTGATGGTACTTGAAATTCAAGATTAAACGTCAGTATGCATTTGTCCATCATCCCTTTGATGGTGTGTTTGGTCTCTTCTTAGTCTCTGGCAGAGGCTCTTTGCATCAAACAACTGATGTGCTTAGGCCAATCCATCACCCAGACATACCTGGAAATGAGACTCAAGCTCAGCAATCAGATTAACACCAAGAATTTAATCTGTTCTCTGTCAGATTTGTAAGGGAGCAAAAAAACAATTTCCCTGCCTCCTTGCTGCCCCTGCAGCAGCAGCTGCCACTCACTGTCTGGCTCCAAAGGAGCAGCAGAGCTGGCAGCTCAGGACTGAGCCACTGGCACAATGGTGGGAAGATAAAAGCATCCCTAGAAGGTCTCAAGGCCGAGGTATGCAGCAGCTCTTCTTGGTGGTGAAAGGTGTGATCGGGAGATTTGTTTTAGTGACTTAGAGCTTACCCATCACCAGCCAAGGGCAGTGGCTGCTGACAGCTGGTATCTGCTGTGACTGTAGGGGCTGTGTACCATATGTCCCCCTTTCTTGAAGAGGAAAGGATCCTCCTGCTAGGCATCCCCTCAGGGACTTGCAGTGTTTCTTGCCTGGTGCTGTCCTCAAGACCATGCTCCACAGTGTCACCAAGCCCCACAGGAGCTGGGCTTCTTCCCTGTACAAACCACATCCTTGACTATTGCAAACCATGAGGCTGTGGACCCTTCTGGTGTACTCAGCACAGGCCCGTGGGCTAATGGGAGCTCCAGAGTGTTTGGATGCATTTAAACCTCGTGGCACTTGTTAAAAGTCTACGTTACTCCAAGTATGAAGTGATGCAGGAATAAAGTGATATTCTGAGGATACATTTCAGCTTACAGAATCAGCAGCTGCCAGATAGACAGTCTCGTGCATAGCTTTATTATTCCCACTTTGTGCACCCCACTGTGTATGCAGGAGGAAACTTAGGTCTTGTGAGAGAAGAGGTGTGTGGTCGTGAAATTAAAGACTATATATATACATATATATGTATACACACACACACACAGATGAAGGGATGACTTAAGATGTCCTCTGCTGTATTAAACCTGATACTTTGCCTCTTATCCATGTTAATTTCCTAGGAATAATATTTTCTTTAAAGAAAAAATGATAAAAATAAATACTGTTATCCTGCATTAGCAGCAGAGCTGGAGCCCTGTCTTTCCCACGTCTCTCTTTCCAATTCTTGCTGTCTTTGGAGCCCTTGCTAACATGTGCCAGACCTCCCTTGGCCCTGTCCAAGCCTGGCACACCAGTGAATGAAATATTTGCATGAGACAGAGTCATCTTGTGTAACCTATGACTTCCCATCTGAATTGAGACAGACTTCCTGTTCATTTCCTAGCTGGGCTGCAGTATGGTTAAAAGCCACTCATCCTTCTGTAAAACGGGGCTGTAGTGCTTGAGGAGGCTTAAAAGAGCTGCAGTAAAATTCAGGAGAGAGGAAGCAGCACTCTGTGTACTCACAGAGGATAGATCCCTTCCTTACAGATTCCTTTTCCTCTGCGAAAAGCCAAGTGGAACATAAGCCACTGCTCCACCCTCGTGAGGAAATTACCTGGGCTGTTCTGCATTTACCAGCTACCCTGGAACTTCCCCACTTGATGTTGATACTGGGCAAAATGCTCCCTTCCAGTGCTGTCCAGAGGGCTCCTTGCTGGCTGATGAGCTCCTGCTGCCCAGCTCTCTGCCTTCCCTGGATTTGTGGTGACCCTCCTCCCTTGTTAAGCAAAGCTTTCCATTGATGGGGTCTGCACTCACTTGGAGAAGGTAAAGAGTGTACAGTATGGGTCTCTCACATTCCCTTCCTTTTCCAGTCCCGTGGGACCTCCCTTGCTTTCAGAGGAAGAGCAGGAGAAAAGGGGGAACAGGAGAGAGCACTAGTAACTTGCACTGGGTCTGCAGTTGTGGTGGCTTTGACTGAGCTTCTATCAGCACGGTCTGTCTTCCCAGACAAGGGAAGAAGCTGGCATTTGGGAAGGTGTCCCTTCATAGAGGTGCTTTGCTGACTCTGTCAGTGAGACTTCTCTGCCTGAAGACCTCCAGAATTTGTGAGGGGTCCTTGCTGCCCCTCAGAACTGGATATGTTTACAGTGTCCTTGTTTTTCTTCTTGTTTTTCCTTTGTTGACTGCAGCTCCATGGTGCTCTAAAATACCCAGTCTTCTCCAGATCTCAGCTTTGAATGCCATAATGGACTAGGCAGCTACAGATCTTTCCCACTGGCCTCATCGAGCCTTTTCCGGTTTCCAGTACTAGAAGGAAAATTTTCCTTTTGCTGACAGGATTAAAATGGAAGCACCTTCTGGGCTTTGTTTTGTCCTAACACCACAGCTGCCCTGATATTTTCCATCTCCATTTAAGGACTATTAAAGATTCATCATATCCTGGGGTCTTTTTTGTAGTCTGTTTAATATAACATTCTTTATTATTACTTTTAGAAAAGCTGAGTTGCATTTACAGGAGATCTTTCATGTGTTTAAATCTTTGGTTCCTTTATGTTTTTATATGGTCACCTGTTCAACTTTCAACTCATGGCTTGAACTGAAAACAGGAAAGCCAGAAAGTGAGAATGCTTCCAAAATGTCGTTTTCTTTTTGCAGTATATTTATAAAAGTTGCAAAAAAAATACCAATATCTCCCGCATCAACATTTCTGGAGCACTGAGAAAGGAACTACTCCTTTTTCTATAGCTATCCCTACCTCTTTCTGCCCCTCAAAAAGCAATTTATTGCAGGTATGCAGTACAAGTAAAGTGTTCCTCAAAGCAGGTAATTCTCACTATTTACCGGAGTAGAAGGAAAGCAAGAATGTTTCAGTGTGTCCAGAGAAGGTCAGAGCAGGAATATGGAAGTGTCACTTTCCTTCTCCAGCTGCTTTTGACTAAATTGCTCAAGCTGAGATGATGCAATGTCTCAGACACCCATTGAAGATTTCCTGTGACCACAAGGCATCACATCCCACAGGAATGGCTCAACATCAGCATAGTAATGAGATAACCACAGGGAACCCAGAGAGATAAATTGATGGCACCAGGAAATGGCTTTGCCTCACAGCACAAACTGGTTTGTTGCCAGAATTGGGGATAAAGATAAACCACTTTCTCCTGTCTGAAACAAAAGGCCTTGACACCTTCCAGATTGGCAGCTATGGAGGAAAAGGCAACCAAAAGGGGCAGTGTCTGGGGAAGACTTAGAGCCTTTGCTACTGGACTATCAAAGGCTGCCATTTCATTAACCTCTCAGATTGTGTAATCAGATGAAGTCAAAGCCACATATTCAGATTTTGGATCTGATTTGATTTCTTAGTCCAGTTTCTTATCTCACAATCTATGGATGAGTACCTTATTTGCCTGTTGGCAGAAGAAGTTTGGAGCAGGGTGTGGTATAGATGTGGTTTTTTTCATAGACATTTCATGGACTAAATAATGCTGGCAGATACTGTTTTCTTCTACCACAAGGAGAACATACAATTTATTCTTGTTTCATTATATTAAATGAAATACAGCACAAAAGGAAAAGGAAAGAAAACCACCAAAAAAGGATATGAAGATATAATCCTTTCTAGCCAAAAAAATACCAACTCTATGACATCCTTGTGTGTGGGGAAAACTCAGCTCCTAGATTATTTTGATAAACTTTGTTACAATCAGTTTCACACAAAACCGTGTTGTTTATTTAATCTTAACTGCTTGCAGAAATGTCAACCAGTAAGGACGTGGAGGTTATTATTTTTTTTTTTGTTTCAAAAAAGGAGTTTGTTTATTTTTCTTCTGTTATTTGGTTTCTCTGTGTAGATTTATAAGAGCTCTGTCACCAACAGTCTTGTATTTGCTTGTGAGCTGGGTGTGTGGTTTGTCTGCCTGGAAGGGCAGGAGCATCCACAGTGGGAGGCAGCTGAGTGGGGAGCAGCTGGAGCCCAGTGATGCTTCCTGCACAGCCAGCATGCACATGCCAAAGTGACCCTGAATTAGGAGAGAGCCATAACATAGAGCCAGCCCATTCCAGGATAGTGCCATCACTACAAAGGAACCAAAACCTTTTGTGCAATCCACAGGATGAAATCAGAAACCCCCCCTCTGTCCCATAAGTCTCTGGGTCCCCTTCCAGCAGCTCACGGAGGCAGGACTGTGCTGGCAGTCATCCAGGTTTCATGCTGACAGCCATGGTTGGAACCAGGGATAAAACTCTGTCTGCTGCCCTGCCTGCTTTGCTTGGTGCTGCTGTGCAATCTCCCATGGCAGGTGATGTCCCTAACCCTCCCCTTCCATGTGCTCTCTCCTCAGGCAAGATCCTGTTCCGGCGGAGCCATGTCCGAGACGTAGCAGTGAAGAGGCTGAAGCCCATCGACGAGTACTGCAGGGTAAGGGCTCTGGGGTCAGGGCAGCCCTCCTGCCTGGGGGCTCAGTGCTGGCATCCATCACAGGGACACAGGGAGGGATGGTCCTTCCCAAACACCACCAGGACTCACAGGGCAGGTGGAAACAGGCTGGGAACAGGCTGCTGTTTGTTCCCCGTGTCCTCGCAGCATTTTCCCCTGCAAACTTTATGTACTGGTTTGGTGCCTCATTTACTCAGTAAAGGCTCTAAGCCTAAATGTGGATTTTATTTCTACATCAGCCTTGATGCTTCAGGAGTTGAGCAGGCAGAGTGGCACAACTAAGGTGGTGTTTTCTTCTGTTTTCTGCCTATCTGTTCCCTGGTGCCACAGAAGTTCTCATGAGTAACAGCCTCAAAATTTATTGCTGGACAAAAAAGCATGACTCTGTTGAGAAGAAGATTAAGCCACCTAATCTTTTCTTTCTACTCTAGAGTTTATGATTTGATGATAATTAATTCTCTGTCAGTAGAATAAAAGTAATTTCTAAAGAAGTAGGATTCCCAGTTTTCACAGAGGTATCGAGTCCATCAACACATTATTTAAACCCCAGACTTCCTCTCTTTTTTCCCTTGAGGTTTTCTTTCCATTTTTAGAAAGTCAGAGGGGCAGGTGGAGGGGGAAAAAAGCATTCCCAAGAACTTCTCCAGTCAGACATTTGCTCATCCAAAATTGGAAGCAGATTGCCAAAGTGCCTGAGGCGTGCTGGGGGTGGTGGTGGTGGTGGTGAAACCCATGCCATCTGCACCCCGGGGGTGAGGAAGCTGTGATTAAAGTCTTCTCTCATGAGATCAGGCTTTCTTGTGTGACAATTAGTGTACTGTCTTCCTGTTGGCAGCCAAATGGCTCTTTCTGAAATATGTAGGGTCTCACTGGGTCCCCAGCCGCCCTCCTTCAGACAGGAACTGCCGGCGACAGGAGCAGCGAGGGCTGGCTGATGTCAGGGTTCACCCAGCAGATGCCTGGTGGGGAAAGCAGGGACTTTCTCGTCCAGCAGTGAAAGCAGTGACCAGGGACAGCTGGTTCTCTGGGACCCCATTGTGTGTGCCCCAGACAGACCTGACCTGACCCAGCCAGGCCTGCTGGGGCTGCACTGGTCATGGCCAAGGGATGTGTTGTGGCTTTTGGCACATTCGTTGACACTGTGGTGCTGTGATTCCTGCTCTCCTCATTTCCTTTTCTCTCTCTTGGAGAAGTCTGGCTCAGGTCATAGAATCATAGAATGGTTTCACTTTGGTTCAGATCTGCTGCTGCTGCCCACACATGGCTGGATATGTCCCTGAAGCCAAGCTGTTTACTTAATCCATGTATTAATAGATGCTGCTGTTGTGAACAGAGACCCTGCAGTGTTGGATTAGCCCAGTTTCCCCCAGCCCAGTGTTTCCTGTCTCCAGCAGCAGCCACAGTGGTTCTTAGCACTGAGTATCACAGACCTTTAGTGACTTTTCCAGAACATTATTCCAGTGGTCTCTGGCACATACATTTCTTGTGCCTGATTTAGTGTCTTTATTTCATTTACAGTTTACTGTCATTTGTATTTAATTTGCCTTTGTAGCCTTTTTCTGCTTTTCTACCCCTCTCCAGTGGACGTTTGGACTCTTTAGAGAATTGAATGGAACTGTAGAGCAAGAGCATAATTTTGACAAGTTCACTCCCACTTCTATAACAGTTCAAAGCTTATGTCCCATGTTACTCCTCAAATGGGTAGGTTGAAAAATATGAAAAAATTAGAGAATTATGCTGGAATGATGTGGGTGAAGCTGACAAAACAATAGACCTCTATCCACTGGAATCTGTGTGGCAGCAGAGGAGGGAGGCAGGTTCAAATGCAAAGTTCATGGCTTTTTTTTTTTTTTTTTTGCAAGATAAGAGTTCTCCGTCCATTTCACCTGTCCTGTAAAGCTGAAGCACAAATGGGGGATGCAAATGTTTGACCATTTGTTGTGTTGTTTTTGCAAACTGTCTGTGAGTGTGGAAATTTGCATGGCTGGGAAGCAGGTCCTGCTGTGTAGATGTGTTTGTGGTTTCTGTGCCAGGAACAGGCAGAAGCTGTCTTAGAGTTTGTGGGGATACTTGCCAGTAAGGGGAGGTCTGCAGAAGATTCTGTATCAAGGGCATGATCCCTCTACAGCTTCAACCTCTGTGCCCCTCATGCCTGGGTTATTCCCAATGTACTGTAGCAGCTTAGAGAAATGCCATCACAGAGGTAACTAGGCCAGTGGTTTTGCTAAGGCTGTAAGAAACTTTGAAGTTGCAATGAAAACGAGAGGAGTGGGGTATACAGGAAGATTTCCAGGAGTTTTCTCATCTGTAAACATGAAAGTGCAGAGTCTGGATGTCCTTACTGGTAACCTAAGCAAGTTACCAAACAGACTGTGTTTTGCCAGTAAATGTGTGCTGCCCACTGGAATTAGTCTCTCTGGATGATTTCCCTCTTAACTGTAGGCTTGGAATTAGTTTAGTGTGATTTAAGGTCTTCTGGGCTCATTGGGCCTGATTTTCTAAATTTGTTTAGGAATTTTTGCCAATGTGAAAGAAAGAGCAACTTCATAGACCTCCCTTCCCAAGGGGCATTTTATTTATGAGGTTTTTGATGTCTCAAACACACCTCTGGTAGTGTTTGTCCAGTATGCACCATCCTGTCTTCAAGGAAGGCCTTTCAGGTCAGTGGGTTCACAAAACCATCATTCTGTTCTTTCACAGCTCTCTGGGAAGACACAGGCCAGAATGTGCTGGCTTCCATATTTGTGTATGTTGATCCTAATTGAGGGAAGCATCTTTGTGCAGGGAAGACCTTAAGGTGTAACATCCTATTGTCATAAACACTAACCTGAATTTGTCACATGCCTTCATGCTGTCCCATAAAGCTGGATATGGCTTTAAGTAGAAGCTTAGGGCCTTTTCTGTAGTGAGGCTTGGGTACCCAAATGGACACACCTAAATAAAAATTAAATGACCAAGCCACATCAGTGCCAGGGAGTACTGGTCATTCTTTTATTAATGTTCACTGTTAGAGAGACCATACTTCACGAACATAATTACCTCTCTCTTGATCTCTCAGTCCTGCCTCCCTTTCAAGGTTTAATCTTTGAACATGTCGAGACAGGTACACAGACATTTCTCTCTCTACCCTTTACAGAGCTAAACACCTATGGCAGGGGGTAGACAAACACCCTCTGAAGATGCTGCTCTTTCTCTAGCAATGATACAAGTTGATAGACAAGTGTGATAGTCTCCCATTTAAGACACATAAAGTTCAGTGGGATGAATACCATTCTGTGCATATACACACACACACGTACTGTGCATCTTTACATATACACATCTCTGCAGCAGTTCTTTATAAACATATCTGCATAAATGCAACCCACAGCACTCGTTATGAGTACCTGCAGGGTTTTATCCCATGTATTCCATGAAGCCTTTGAGCTGTGATACAGTCCCATGGAGCAGTTTCTGGCTCATGTAACCTTAAGCAATGAACCCCTGCCTTCACTCGCTGCTCTGCTGGCTTTGATTGCTGTGTGGCACACAGCAGCTTTCCACAGGTGGGCTGGTGCTCTGAGAGCAGCTGGCCATCCCCAGCACTGACTGCCTGCTCACACCCTGCCTAATGTTACAGCTTTTCAATAGCCTTTTGAGTCACCTGCTCTGCAAGACTGTCTGTAACCTGTAATACAGAGACAGAATCATTTCAGGCTGGAATGACACATAAAGGCCATCTCCTGAGGGACGTGTGAGGGCTGAGCACTGCACGTCTGCCTGTGCACGCCAAGCCAGGAAACGTGCTGTTACTGATAGTACTCTTGCACTCACTGCTTGTGCAAGGCTGAGTTCTGCTTGCTGGCACTTTTTATCTCTCACCTTTCCTGTGCAAGTTCCTTGCTGTTCCTAGATGCTTGTTGTTTATAGCTGTGTGCATTTACCTCTGGTTTCCACATCCCCAGAAGAATGTCACTCTCCTGTCCTTTCTGTCTTTTGTGTTCTTCTTTGTCTTTACACTTCTTCCCTTGACCCTGCAGTCTTTCCTTCAGGCTGTTGCAGCTCTGCCCTGGAATTGTCTTGCTGGAAATGCCAGAAGCTTGCATTTTCCCCTTGCAGAGTGGCAGTGGTGTTTCTCATTTCCTCAGTGCACCTTTTGTTTGCTCACCGGAATTGTGTTGGCCTTGACTTGTTCATGATGAATGTTGTATATTTGCTGAAGAGACAGTTGTCTCACTAAGCAGTGTTGCTACTCTTCAAAATTTAATAGAAGGATCCTCATTGGTTTTATACCCTTGGTTGCACTTTCTTTTACCATTTCTTAGAGTTTCTTAGCACTTCTTTGGGTTTTGTTCCTTAAAAAAAAAAAAAAGAAAAAAATTGACTGGTTGTACTTTACACCCGAGCTTCCCAAAAAAACATGCAATGGCAAGTTACTATGGGGTGGATTTCAGTCTATCTCTGTGCATAAGGCTGGAAATTGCAGCATGTTGGGAGATGATTCAGAAGCAGAAGAGCCAGCCCTGCCCCGGGGTGGGAAGGTGGATGCCTGGGTGTGGAAACAACTGGCTGATTTTTATCCACTCCCTGCAAAAGCCTGGAGTTAGAGAAGTGCTTTTCAGTTATCCCCCTTCAGCTCACAGGACCACAGTGCTTCTGGGGATTTCCAGGCAGCCAACCACTGATTCAGGGGCTTCAGATTTCCCAAAGCTTCCCTTGAGTTAGAAACAAAAAATCTCCACAGCAACTTTGCATTCCTCCATCACTGAAAACCCACGCTGTGCTCCAGCTCAGTATTGACATCTGGAGCCTGGTTCTTGGGAAGGGTGGGCACCTGTAGGGAAGTGGTGACTCTTTGAGAAGGCGTCTGATGTGTGAGACCCCCCGCACTGGGGTAGCTCGGCTATTTGTGTTTCTCTAGTAATGATACGTATCGTTTGCAGTGCTTGCTCTTGCCCCATTGACTGTGCAAGATTGAGCCCTTTGGGATTTCAAAACACACTGTAGATATTGAATATCTGAGCCTCCTAACCTTTCTGCAGATTAGGTAAGTGTTATTGCTCAGCATTGTAAGGGAGTAACTGAAGATATATCCCAGCTGAATTTGATGTAAAGAGGTTAAGTAACTTGCCCTAACCAAAAAGGGTGTGAGTAGTAGAGCCAGCACTAATTATCAGCTCCATCCACTGTTGGTTAGACAGCATTGCTTTGCTGTCTCTTGCTTGGGGTGCAGATGAATAAATGCTGTTTATGTTCTTTGTGGCCCGTGCTGGTGAAGCATTTCTCTTTCAACATGCTGTGATCATTACTATTCCTGGGCACTTCCTGACTTCCCAGTGTTATTCCTGGTTGGCCAGCTGGATGCATGTATTTATGTACAGTAGAAATAAAGGCAGAGCTCACACCTTTGTTACACTTTTAGACGAGTTTGAACAAACAGAGGTGGAGACCAGGGCATCCTTTGTTCCCATAAAAGAGCTTGAGTTTTCCAGCTGTTCCGTTTCATCCTGCCTTAGTGCAGCAGCCAGTGGTGCTTACCCTGGCACTTGCACCCACCAAGCTGTCTCCCAGCTTCTGCATCTGATGCTGTTTCCTTTTGGCAAGCTCTGTAGTGCAATTCCACGTGACCAAAGGCCAGAGCCTCATTCTTCACAAGCCTAGTGATACAAATGGATTTTCCTGATGCTCTTTTAACATCCCTTCACAAAGAAAAGGAGAGCTGTAGGTGTGGAAGCATTTGGCTTTGAATTTCTGAACACCTCAAAACAAGACTCCATTATCTAATACTGGAGACCTGCAGTTTCATAGCAGGATTTTTCCAACTCTTTTCTTTCACTTCTCCAAGCAAATGTGGTCTTGTAAACAAATCTGGCCACTTCTAAAGCCTGGTTAAAACCAGCTGTGATGGTATCCAACTTCCCTGTCCTGCCTTTGTGCTTTGGCTGGACCTTCTGGTGTGTCTGACCAAGATCAGTCAGATGTCTCATGGTTAATATAAGCTGTTCATCCCAATGCATCTTCATTTAGTTGTGGTGCAGTTTTTCATCCATCTTTCAAGATTGTTTGTCCTACTTTCAACTAGGAGAAGAGCCAGACAATCTCATTTTGTCAAACAGGTTTACAGCAACTCTAAGAAGCTTGGTCTATATTTAACCTCTGGCCTATTTTCAGCATAACTTAGCGCAGGAGGAGGTGAAGTCCAGCCCCCTTTCCTCTCCTGCTTGTCATTTCTGGAGGCAATCTCAGAATCATATCACTGACAGCTGCTGCCCCATCTCTGTGGGCTGGGGACAGCTCTTTGATTTCTTTTGGCACCATAAAGCTCTAGATTCTGAACAGCAAATTCATAGCATGTTTCTGCCTTGTGTGCTTGTCTTGTTCTAGGTCTTGCTTTCTAGTACACTTCAACATAATGTGGTTGATGCCCAGACTGTACTTTGCTATTGCTGAATGTGACAAGTGCCATGTCCCTCTGCCAAGGCGAGTGTACAGACATTGTTAGCCAGGATGTGCTGTGCAACCTTCTTCATGCAGAAAAAGCCTCTCTGTGTTTTGGTTGGGCTTGATTTGGCTTTTTCAGACACTTAATCAAACTTCCTTTCCTGTTAATTTAGGACCAAATTGTTGTTTGGTTTGGATTGGTTTTGGGGTTTTTTTAGTGAACTCTGCTCTTTGTGTGGACAGTGCTTAATGGAAAGTTTTATGGAGCATATTAATCTGTTGTGTGAGCGGGTGTTGAATTTGTGTGCATGGACATAAGGCCTGTAAGCCCTGACCTCAGGGCTTGAGGTGCTGTGCAAGCCCATGTCACAGACTGTCCCAGCCACAGAGCACTCATCTATGCAGTGTCATGGTTTTGCACTTATGGAGCAAATTCTGCTTTTGGGCACATGGCAAAATAAATTTAATTGGCTGATTCTAGGAACTGTTGCTTGTCTGAATTCATTGCTACCTACCTGACATTTGCAAGGCTTGTTGTTTCCTTTCTTGTCAGGTAAGTAGCCAGCATGATGCTGGTCTTCAGTATTTCTTTCCCCCTGCCAGGACTGTTTTGCCTCTTTGTGTTTGGTAGTTTAGATGTTTGAGGCCATGTTTCAAACTTGGCTTATGTCTAAGTGCTTCTCACTGTTTTGCAGGCACTGGTTCGGCTTCCTCCCCATATTTCACAGTGTGATGAAGTCTTCAGGTTCTTCGAGGCTCGCCCAGAAGACCTTAACCCTCCAAAAGAGTAAGTGTTGTGATGGTTTTGCAGTGCTGCTCAGGACATTTTGATTGGCTGGAAGGAAAAGGTCATTTGTTTTTATTACTGCTGTAAACATGGGAACAGATTTTGTAGCTTTTGATGCCCAGCAGTTACACACAACTACTTTGGGTGAGTGGAGGACAGAGAAGTCAAGCAACCCTCAGACACAATTTTCAGCCATCCTCCACCCACCTTTGCATTGTTTCTTGTTCATGGTTCTAATGAGGGAACCTCCCCTGGTTTGTGGGTTTTACCTGATAGTTATCACCAAAGAGTCATTTAGTTCCCAAAAAGCACTGGCTCGGTAGCAGGGGGAAATCCTGCCAGTAAGCACTTGGCTCATAATTAGCAGCTGCTTCTTTAAATGTACTCCTGCCCAGAGATACTTAGTTATCGGTAGGGAGCAAGACTGTGGTCCAGATCCAAAATTGTCTCTGGAGAGCCTATTCTTTCTTAGCAGGAAGCCAAGAAAAGGAGGAGGGAAAGAGTTCCCATTAAACACGAGACAGAATTGTAGCCTTTACCTTGGAGCAGACAGGCTGATTCATGCTGATGCAGTTAGGGTTCATAGGACTAATTTATCCAGGGAAAGCGTTGGCAGGAGGGTATTTACAAGTAACAGTGCTGCCTGGCCTGGTATTTCCTTTTCTCTTTCATCCCAAACAGGATATATTTTATTGCACTCTGCAATAAGATTTTGACTTGGTCCCATTGTGTTTTGTGCTGCTTTGTTGCATGATTTGAAACTTGATTGCAGGCTGTGTTGCCATAATTTGCTTTCTCCTGCGTTTGCACAGCCCACTGGATAAGGGGAAATGGATGCAAAGCCTTGGGGCTTTGGGCACTTCAGCACATGCAAACCTGTAGTTATCAGAAAGATTTGTACTGGCTTCAGCTGTCTGCTCCCATACTGGTGAAAAAGAGAGGAGAACCTTAGCAATTTGATTTCCCAGACTTTGTTTCTTGCACATGCATGGGTTTGTACAAGGAGATGTATTAACATGTGTACTAAAGAAAACACTGCTAGCATCACTGAGAGCAAAGTCTTTTTTGGTTTCATGAATGAAAGAAAGAGCAGTTTTAAATCAAAAGTCTGGATAAAGAGCTGCTTCTTTATTTCCTATTTAGCCTTGTTTTAGAAAAATATTTGGCAAAAATAAATATAGTTGGTTGTTCATTGTTAAACACATATTGCAAACTTAGGAAACATTGCAATGAAATAAGCCTGTCACACTCTTGAGACCTGCTGATTATCACCATTTCTATTTAGGGTCTGCAAGTAGCTTTGCAAAGGTTGCTTGATCCCACAACACCCCATTTGTGATGCAAAGATACATCCCCGTATGCCAGGCAGAAACAGACACCCAAAAGAGGAGTTAGGTCCCCAGAGTTACAGAAGAGTTCACATGAAGGATGTCAAATGGATGTTATGAGTCTGCTTGAAACTCCTGTCTGCTTTCTGTGCTGATGCAGACCCTACAGCACCTCTGCAAGGCAGGGGACTGGGACCCAGGCCCACCCCAGACGTACACTAACCATTATGGCTGTGTCCCTTGTCCCTACTCAAAGTTGTAGAGGGCCTGTTTGACAGCCTTGCAGGAATTTTCAAGTTATGGCTTCACTCCCCTCTGGAAAAGCAAAAAAGACTAAATGTTCTCAGCCCAAGCCTTGCATCCTATTCCAACCTAGTAATAAGTGTGATTTATTTCCCTGGAAAATGTAGAGCAATAACCTGATTAAATCTCACTTCACTAATGTCTGCAAGACATTAATCTAGCTGGGTTTAAACAAATCCTACCTCTTCTTCTGTAAGCAAACAGATCTTAGGGAAGGTGTCTAAGGTTTCTGCTGGGAGTGCTTCACAAAAGATGTATTGTTGAAACTGAAGATTAGTCTCTACAAAAAGATGATGTAAAAGCCAACGGAAACATCTTGGTGTTTTTCTTCTGTGAACTGAGGGGGAAGGGAGGAGATCTGAGGCTCACTGGACCACTGTGTAGGGTCTGGGGGAAGGACACCTCCAGGGCAATTCCGAACCTCAGCAGGCACTGCAGGAAGGAGCATGATTCCTGAGAAATCCCAATTTATTCCCTTGTTTTGTTACTTTGTCAAGCCCCTCCAGAAACAGTGAGCCAGTGGTGCCCAAACCCTGTGAATTCAGTCTTCCCTGGACCTCATGGTTCATCATTCCACTCACTGGAGGTAGGGCTGTAGCCTGGAGGCATCATCTAGACTATCCTAATTATTTTATCTATTTCTTCAGCTGCTTCTTTTAGCCTTCAACAGAGAGGTGGTTTGTATGTTGATCTGTCAGCATAGACATTACATTCAACTTCTGGGTTAAAGAACAATAAGCAAGTGACTCAGCCACCAAGGGGCAGTGAACAGAATTGCTTGTGCTGCCTTCATGTCTCCTCTCTGTGCACAATGAGATGATCTTTAGTTTCATGTTGACCTGCTCAGCTTTTCTGCAGCAGCTTGGCCTCATAAGGCAAAGCCTGACCTAGGGTTTAATTAACTAACTAATTTTCAGGAGTGTAACCTTAGTCCCATGGGCATTTGGATTGTTGAGCCCAGAGAGTCCATTGAGTTATTGCATGTCAGTGACTAAGCATGTGCTTCCAGACAGAAATACATGGAAGCTTAAACTTCGAGGGAGGACACACGAAAAAGTCTAATTTACCTTGCAGCTGAGATGTGCAGAGAGGTACCCATGCCTTTATTTGCTGAGCCATGGCTTGCAATGGTGCACTGATCTGTGTAGTGCTGCATTAATTCAGCTGCAAAGCTGAGCTCTTCACTTCTATTCCTATTGTCCTGAAAGACGCCAAAATTCCCCTGTAGCTCCTTAGGCACTTTACAAATGTGTTACTGGCTTCTTCCCTTCCTTACAACCCTTCATCTGCCCTACCCTTGCCTTCTCCCTGTTTCTTTGTGGGGTCCTGCCCGGGTTGAGCCGTGTTTGGCTCTCTGGCTGCTCCCTACAGAGTCATTTCCTACCTAGAGCTGCCGTGCCCCGGCTGCCCGCAGTGCTGAGCACACACAGCCCAGCTGCAATAAAAGCTGGGCTTCCCCAGTGCTGCAGTAATCCGGCCAATTTGTTCGGCTGGATTCACAGCTTGGTTTTTCTGTTTCCTGTTTTGGTGTTGGTCCAGGCTTTCGAGTCCTGTGACAATAGGCAGAAGGTTTTTCTTCCAGCCCATTAAATCTCTCTTGGGTACAGCAGCTCACAGGCAGAGAGCTGGAGAGATGTCTCAAGAAATCTCAGCGTTTGTACTGGCTGACAATCTCCTCCGAGCCTGCTCCAGGCCAGATAGCTCCCAACAGCAGGTTGTCTTCATGTGGCATGGGACAGGTCATAGGAGGACACTAAATTCCTGTGTGGAATGGTCTGGGAGCATTCTCAGGCTGTTTCACATGGTGAAAGCACGGCTTTGCAAAGGAGCTGGTGGGCCATGAGAGCAGTGATGTGCCAGGCAGGGTTGGGAGCTCTGGGGATGGTGTGCCTGGGGCAGCTGCTTTGACTGCTCTCCCTCCACCCCCTGGATTAGCCACAGGGAAAGCAAGCGTCAAACCACCACCCCTGGTACAGGAGGAGCAGTTTTCAACTGCTTATGTTTCCAATGTGTGACATTTTAGTGTTTGAGCAAACACCTGTGTCTGTAGCTGCTTGGCTGGGCTTGTGTCCTTTACCATGCCAGGTCCTGCACTGCCATGGGAAAAGACACTGTGAGGTAAGAAAGAAAGAAAGTGTGTTTTTATTTATCCGTTGTTCTAAGTAAACACCATGTCACTGAAAACCATTCATTTACTGGATACTTCTGGTAATAATTATAATTACCAATAACTAAACCAGAGGTAGATTAATTTCAGATTTCTGCTGGGGATTTAAATTCAAGGCTGAGGTCAGGCCAGGGCTCACAGTCAACAAACAAAATCTCAGAAACCAATTTTTCAAATGATTCTGTTTTACTAGAAATAACAGAAATACCCGAAAAGTAAGATTAATCAATTAGACATTGCATATGATTTACTGGTTTTAGGGCTTTTTTTGCAGAGAGTTTCAAAATACCACAGCCAGACCACTCGTGTGAGAGTTTGTTTTTTCTTTGTGTCTAGATCCAGTCTAAAGAGCAGATCAAGAGCCAAGGATTCAGTTCTCCAATACTTCCCCCTACAGAAATGCATGCAGGCTCAAGCAAGATTTCTGTGTAAACCACCACTAATAATATTATCAGCTGAATTTAAAGCAGTGTTCAATATCTGAGAATAATTTTCCTGTAAGAATCATAAAGCAATTTTCAAACAATATGCAAATCCAGAAAAGCTAGGGGACTTATAGGTATATGACATATTATGAGGGTTCATGCAGAAAATGGAGTTAATGCTGAAGGTGCCTTTACTAAAGAACAGAAATGCTCTATTGTGCTCTGCAGCCATGAGCTTTACTGATCATATCTCTATCAAATAAATATTGGTGTAACACTCGGATGCTCTGATGCCACTGTTAAATGGAAGCTGGAGTCTCCTCTTATTCTTCATATATTACAAATTCCTGATAAGGATACTGAACAGAAATAGCCAGGAAAATGGAGTAACCATGTTAAGGAAGCTGCTTTCGTTTGTGAGTGCATTGGTGCTAAAGCACAGCTCCCTAATACAATATTTTCTATCCATAAACATAACTGTGTTTATACAGTCATGAAATTGCATAAATACAATTATTTTTGTTTCCCAAATCTGCCCTGTAGTAACAATTCAATTACCTATTGATAGAAGAGGAAAATTTTTAATGTGTGAAATATCTGTATTTATTCTGATTTGTTTGATATTATGAAAATATTTTCTCTTACACTTCATCCCTTATATTTCATTGCTTATATTTCACTTATATTTTATATAAGTTTGAATTTTGAATTGTGTTTCCCAATACATTGGACAGCTGAGTCACTGAGCAGATGTGATATGAGGAAAGCTGGCATTCT